TAAAATAGGACATCGAGTAACCACTCGCCTAATTCCACACCCGTTTCCTCACTCTGCTGCATATTCTTAACAGTACCCTCCGCATAAATAGTTTACACGCTTCCTACAAGGAACATACAATTGCACATCAGGGCCTGTCTTTACTAGCCTACCTACGTCCACAGGCCAACACTAATCATTAGTGGAAGGGTGGTGAATTTGCTTGGTTAGTTCCAAAATAATGCGTGGGCGGTTGTGGTTAATTTGTTCCACTTTTGCCCACGATACAACGGTGCTAATCGCAGTTTGATGTGAAGTCACACAAACCAAGGTACGTGAATACACCAGATCCCATTTATTTTGTGTAAATTTATTTTCTAGGATAGAAGTATTTTATGGGATGTTGTCCTTCTTTCATTTATCTCATCCATAAACAATTCTGTTACCAGGGTACAAAAACATCAGATTGGTATGGTTAATCTAATCCCTCATCCGATTTGGCATGGAAAAATCGATGATCTCACCTTTCTCGCTCTCCGTCTGTGTTTCTCGATCATCGTGGCCATGCGGCTAAATGAAGAGTAGATCAATGAAATAGGATTTATTACATGCAAAGCAAATGATAATAATAACAATAATAATACGCTGTAGGAGTTTTTTCAATGGTGTTTATAAATCATCATCCAATCAACACAATGAATTCATCTACGGCTAGCAAACAAACAAACAAATGCACCGAGTGGAATGTGCATGTGCAACGTGATTGTACTGTACACTCAGCACGGTTCACTAACTTGGAGAAATTTGTGGAATACGTAAATCAGCGAATTTGTGTGGGCATGCACATACACACACACACACACACACAAACACACAAACACCATATTCACTTGCAACCGCCCCCGCACAAACCGGGAACACGCCGTATGTGTCGTCGTCACCTGTGTACGGGAAGTTTTGGTGAATCCCACACATTCGGGGAGAGGGGCAAGACGCTTGAAACTTTTCGATTTGAATTTAAAGTTGAAAAACATCAAACGATTGGGAAAATGTTTTGTTTTCTCGCGTGTAATCGCTTTTGCCGCTTTCCAACCTGACCCAGTGAGTTGGTTATCGCCGGAGACGGGTAAAGGTCATACCCTTGGCCTTCCCTTGCTGTAACCAATCCCGTGCATCACACACACTGTACACAACCACACACACATACACACACGGGTAATACTAACTAGATTTGTTAATTCGCTTCATTTGTCTATCTTGTTCGATGTTATACGTACGCGACCGATGCGAGTATACGAAAGGAATTCCTCTCGCAGTGTTTGTCTTCTGACTTGTCTGTTCAAGTTCATTACGGGATCGAAATGTTTCAATATATTTGTGTTTTAATTTTGTTAGAAGAGATAGACCAAAGCCCATAAATTGTGGGTTTTCATCGTTGTGCTTAGCGATATACCAAGAGGAACTGTGAACACAAGAAAATATTGACGTATAATTTTTGAAGAAAAAAATGAGAACACAGTCAGGTAGTACTAAGCATTTTTTACAAACAGTTCATTTCTAAGCCCCTCGTTGGGATGGGATGCAAATTAGACGACGATTATGTAGTAATTGTAGTTACAGTAGTACTAGTACGCAATGAACGCGGAATACGAACCACTGATTAGCAATCACGGACGAGGCGTAAACACTGGACCACACTGGCACCTGCACGCAATATCCCACGTAACCGAGTCACGAGGAAAAGGCCACAGGAGTAGTAGTTCGTTTGTTGAAAGAAATCTGACGGGATTAATTAACATGTACAAAACAAACTCATTGGTCATCCGGGCATCTGCCAACAGCGTTCTAGTATTTCTGCTGTTATTCAGCTTCTTTCTGGGCTGCACGG